CTGGCTGGGTGCTGGCAGGCTTGCACCTGGCACAGGCACCGTAGCCAGCCCGTGCCCCTTTAAGGGCTCCGGGGCCGGGAGGGGGGCATACGAGTTTCCCTGGTGGTGCCCAGAGTGGCCACCAGGGAAAGCTGGGGAGGGCTAGCCTCCCACTAGTTCGAATTAAGGGGCTACACAGCCCTTAATTCGAACTAGTTAATTCGAACTACGCATTAGTCCTCGTAGAATGAGGTTTACCTAGTTCGAATTAAGCACACCGCTAGTTCGAATTAAGTTCGAACTAGTGTTCTGCATGTGTAGCACCTAAGTTAATTCGAACTAACGTTCGAACAGACGTTAGTTCGAATTAACTTCGTAGTGTAGACATACCCCAAGTGAGTTATAAGATCAAGAACACATTCCTGCACATCCAGAAATATAATTTATGCTATCATGTGCCAAAAGTGTCCGTCTGCTATGTACATTGGACAAACGTCTCAGACACTTTGCATTAGACAGGATCACAAAGAAAAAACAGTTTCTTGCCATTTCAACCAGAAAGGACATTGTCTCAACGACTTAATTACCTGCATCCTGCTTCAAAAGCCTTTTAAAACTGCACTTGAAAGGGAATCCTCTGAACCGTTATTCATGCTAAAATTCGACACTTTTCGTGGGGGTCTTAAAGACTCTAGTTATCTTACCCATTTCAAAGATAGCTTCCCCAATTATCACCTCTAATATCATTAGCTCACAGACATTTACCTTCTCCCCGCCCCCGCCCACCCCACATCCCCCTTCTGTTATGAAATTTGATTTGTACTTTTCATATGTGTTTTTTAATTGTATCCTTTGGTATATATGGTTGTGACTATTTTCTTCCACTATTTGATCTGAGGAAGTGGGTCTGGCCCACGAAAGATCATCATCTAATAAACCATCTTGTTAGTCCTGTATTTTGCTTCAGCTACACCAGACTAACACGGCTACATTTCTATCACTATTCAAAACTAAGTTCTTCACAGTTTCCTAGAAGGCCAGCATCACAAAACCTCAGATCTTTGATCAAGCCAGAAAAATCAGCAAGACACACCAAATTGACTGAGCACTCAGAATGGCACCAGATCCCCAGAACATGCTTAATAAAAGAGTCCGCCAAGGTAATCAACTGCTGTGTTCCATGTCTGATTCCTAATCCTTTTATCACAGGATGCTTCTCCCAATAGATTTTTTATTTTCTCTTTCTTTCATTTGTTTTGTCCAATTCTCTTGGTGACTGTGCCTATCCCATTTTCCTAAACACTAGAAAACTACTTCATGCTTGGGCTGGGAGGATTATCTACTGGTGGCACAGGAGACTCAGTTACATTTGTTTTTGTGGCTGACCTAATTATCATGGAATCAGATGCTACTATCAGTGGGCTATTGCCTAAGCATGCAACCCTCTACACCCCACACTCCCTTATGGGGAACTATTAATGGCCACTATGGGAGAAATGAAGGATGGTAAGTATTTCTAAGACCCTTATTTTCCAACAGCATTGTGATTTCCCTAGATCCTACAGCAGGAAAACTGTACTACAGGCTGTCCTCACTCTAAGTCCAAGATACGTTCCAAAAATCTTGGACTTATAGTGAAACAACTTAAAGTGGGGAATTTGTTCCCCGTGGCTGACTACCATATGCGCAAATTAGGGTGTGGGTTTGTGTGTGTGACTTAAGAGCAGGGAATGGGAGGACTCAATGCATCAGTTCCTACAAGCGTCAAGGACTTTAGTGCGGAACAGATTTATACCAGGGTGACCTATGCTGGGAACGCCCTGTACTGAAGTAATCCTCAGCTTTGCCCAGTGCTCAAAAAAGTGGGATAGAATCAAAAAATGAATGTTCCCTCTGTTCTACACCACCCATTTATTAGTCTAGCACTCCTCCTCTGTGAGTTATACAAGTATCAATTCTGTTTTCTTGGGATAAAAACACATACTGCACATTTTTAATTGTATCCTTTGGTATATATGGTTGTGACAATTTTCTTCCACTATTTGATCTGAGGAAGTGGGTCTGGCCCACGAAAGCTCACCACCTATTAAACCATCTTGTTAGTCTTTAAAGTGCTACACAGTCCTGTTTTTGTTTCAGCTACACCAGACTAACACGGCTACATTTCTATCACATACTGCACAAGTTGTCAACTCTTTCAAACTGTTTTTAAATTACAAAGGAACTAGAGACCCTTATATTTAGTACCCAAATCTTTTGAGAGAGAATATTTTATGTAACATCCTTTAATAATGTCCTTTGTTTACAAAAATAAAACAAGCAAGGATGTATTTTTCACTCTACCTTTATTTGGCTTCTCTCATCCATTTTATAGTAGTTTTCAAGCTTATTTTCGACTAGCTTTGCAAGTTTGATGGCATTAACCAATGGCTGGCTAGAGGGAAAGAAAAAAAGTCTCAAATACCATTGATTAAATTTGTTAAGAAATTTTAGTGTCAGTATTTTAAACACACAACTACCTATCTTCAACATCTAGTTTAAAATTAAGTAAAATTTCTGAAATATTTGAAACATTGTGCCATGATGCAAACAGGCAGTATGTCATACGGCCTGAAAACCTAATATGAATAACTTCAGAGTTGTGGGCTTGATAGGAAAATAGGAATAAACTAGAAGCAAGACCAAAACAAATGGCTTAAACTGACAAGTCTTACCTACATATGTAATACTCAATAAGAGGGAAAGAACAACAATGGGATGGCTATTGAGTTGAAGTATTTTTATGTTTTCCCCCCATAATTCTAGTTGAAAGGCTAAATCATTAAATTATGTTACACTATATGACATTCAGATTTATAATTATTTTTACTTTAGATGGTATAAGATCACATCCTTTAGTTTTATGGTTTAACTGTCAAAAGCTGCTAGTGTTTAACTTAACAGAAAGCTGCTTGTGTAAGTGGTCTCCATCACACATCCACCCAAGAAACTGTACATAATTTTAATTCACCATTTAAACATGAATTTGTTTACTACTTTATTTCTAGTATATTATAGGAAATGATAGCTTTTGAGACTATATGCTGAAGTGGCAGAGACATTTAATAATCTATATTCCTAATATCTTTCTTCACAAAGTATCAAAAGTGCTTGAGAAGTTCTAACGTATTCAGCCCTGATTCAGAAGAGCACCCTTATTCAAAACACAAACACATACATAAGTTTAAGCATGTGTTCAAACTAGGGATGTTAAATAGCATATAATTAATAGTTGTGGAGCTGCATACAATTTTTTGATAGTCCCCAGGGGTGGGGACGGCAGCCAGTGCATTCCAGCCCCACTCTCAGGGAGCCTCCTGCCACCCCATGCTGCTGCCCCTGATACAGAGCAGCAATGCAGAACAGCAGCAGCCCCTGTCTGCAGGGAGCTCAGATCCCCCATAAACAGGGGCTGCTGCAGCAGAACAGCCTCTTTCCGCAGTGAGCCTGGGCCTGCCACGGACAGAGGCTGCTCCACAGCAGCCTCCCCTGCCCAGGAGGAAACTAGGTCAAATTACAAAGAATGAATATAAGCAAACACCACAGTTATGCAGGGGTAAGATTAAAAAGGCAACAGCACAAAACAAACAATCTAGCTAGAGACATAAAGGGTAACAAAAAGACATTCTATAAATATATTAGAAGCAAGAGGAAGACCAAGGAGAGGATAGGCCCATTGCTCAGTGAGGAGGGAGAAATGGTAACAGGAAACTTGGAAACAGGAGAGGTGCTTCTTTGTTTCAGTCTTGACCAAGAAGTTTGATGATGAAGGGATGCCTAACAGTGAATGCGGCAGGTTTCGAAGTAAAAAATTACTTAGAAAAGTTAGAGGTCTTCAAGTTACCATGGCCTGTTGAAATGCATCCTAAAATACCTCCTTTATCAGCTCCTTGAGTATCTCATCCTTTAGCTATCATCTTTGAAAAATCATGGAAGTTGGGAGAGATCCCAGAAGACTGGAAAATGGCAAATACAGTGCCCATCTATAAAAAAAGGAAATAAGAACCACCCAGGAAACTACAGACCTGTCAGTTTAACTTCTGTGCCAGGGAAGATAATGGAGCAGGTAATTAAGGAATTAATCTGCAAACATCTGGAAGAAAATAAGATGATAGGTAACAGCCAGCACAGATTTGTAAAGAACAAATCATGCCAAACCAATCCGATAGCTTTGATAAGATAAGTCTTGTGGATAAGGGAGAAGTGGTGGACATGGTATACCTAGACTTTAATAAAGGCACTTGCTATGGTCTTGCATGACCTTATCAATAAACCAGGCAAATACAACTTACATGGGGCTACTATAACGTGGGTGCATAACTAGCTGAACAACAGTTCTCAGAGAGTAGTCATTAATGGTTCACAGTCATGCTGGAAGGGCATAACAAGTGGGGTTCCGCAGTACCTGTTTTGGGACTGGGTCTATTCAAGATCTTCATCAACGATTTAGACACTGGCATAGAGAGTAGGCTTATTAAGTCTGCAGATGATACCAACCTGGGAGGGTTATAACTGCTTTGGAGGACAGGGACATAATTCAAAATGACCTGGACAAATGGTCTGAGGTAAATCGGATGAAGTTTAATGGAGAACAAATGCAAAGTACTCCACTTAGGAAGGAACAATCCGTTTCACACAGAATGGAAAGTGACTGTCTAGGAAGGAGTACTGCAGAAAGGGATCTAGTGTTCAGATTGGTCCATAAGCTAAACATGAGTCACTGTAATACTGATGAAAAAAAGCAAACATGATTCTGGGATGCATTAAGGGGAGTGCTGTGAGTAAGATATGAGAAGTCATTCTTCCACTCTACTCTACGCTGATTAGGCCTCAAATAGAGTATTGTGTCTAGTTCTGGGCACCACATTTCAAGAAAGATGGAGAAATTGGAGAAGGTCCAGAGAAGAGCAACAAGAATGTTTAAAGGTCTACTACAGAACATGAGCTATGAGGGAAGACTGAAGCAATTGAGCTTGTTTAGTTTGGAAAAGAGAAGACTGAGAGGGGACATGATAGTGGTTTTCAGGTATCTACAAATTTGTCACAGGGAGGAGAGGGAGAAATTGTTCCCCTTGGCCTCTGATGTTAGGACAAGCAGCAGTGGGCTTAAATTGCAGCAAGACAGGTTTAAGTATGACATTAGGAAAGACTTCCTAACTGTCAGGGTGGTTAAACACTGCAAGAAACTGCCTAGGGAGGTTGTAGAATCTCCATCACTGGAGATATTTAAGAGCAGGTTAGACAGACATATCAGGGCTGATATAGACCTTGTTTGGTCCTGCAATGAGGGAAGGGGACTGAACTTGATGATCTCTCAAGGTTCCTGCCAGTTCTAGTAGTCTATGATTGATTCTTGGACTCCCAAGCATCTATTGTTCCCTGATCTCTTGCGGGGTTCAGAAAGGATATGGGACTCTTAACATTGCTCCTTAGCCACATATACACCCCAATCTCTGACCTTAGCTGTTTCCCCTCTGCTCTGGCTCCTGTTGCATCCCAAATCCATGCAGGGACTACAAAAAAATAAGACCTTCTCCAAGGCTCAAACTTAGTAACAGAAGCTTGGTAGCTGGGTTATTAGTAAAACACTCATACAGAACCTGGGTAATAGGATGCATGTAAATGCCTGGTTGGTCTCTTCCCCCCACAGTACAAGTTAGGCATGTTAAAAATCATGTAGTTGTGTAAACATGCAACCACTTGAAATTTTTAGCCATTGCAGAGAGGCAGGCAGTGCTGTAAAGCCAGGTCCCTGTGACCACCAGCTCCCACTAGTCCCCCATCCCACCTCTGATAGAGAGTTAGCAGCATAGGGGGCCGGTAGTTCTACCAGAGCCATTATGCATCGGCAGCCAGCTTGAAAGCCAGCTTTCCCCACACCCCTGAGCTGCTACCTGTGTGGGGGGGCAGTCAGCTCCCAGTTCCTGCCTCCCCCATGTCGAGGGGGTAGGAGGTGTAACCATTAGGATTAAAACAATAAGCCTGGGCTTATCAGTTAATCGTGTAAATTGACACACACTAACATCCCTAATAAAAATGTTACCATATTAGCAAGTGAAACAGTAAGTGATCAGCAACAAAATCCAGAGACTGACTACAAAAAGTTGTTAAATGCTGAAGGTAAACAAAAAGCCATCTGTACCACACTTACTTTATATGTGGACTCATACCAACTTAATAAAAACCAATAAAAAAATATTTTATCCTAACAGCATATTAGAAGATGGAACACTGCTGTTTCTGAACAGCACTGCAAGCAGAAGTTGTAAAATTGAAAGTCGTATTTACATATATCACTATTTTCGGTCCTACCTTTTATATCTTACTCCTGGGTTTTCATCTAACGTTGCACATAACGTAACAATTTGTTCAGCCATTGCCTCCATAACTGCATCTTTGCCATTTGCTTTTTCCATGGTTGGACTGTAACAGCAGAAGAATGCATCTGGGACATCGAGAGTAAATACCTAAATAAAGCATAGCCATGAAAAAGCTTAGCATTGTACATTTCTTTAGAAATAAGAACATCTGTTGTAAGAACAATAGTCAAAGGGTTGCGGCCTTTTTTAAACAAAACACCACACCATGCACAAGATAGATACATATCTAAGCTACCATTGGCTAAGCTACCATTTTATTTACCTCAATCATCCCTCCTTTTGTCTATCCTCTTGAGCTCATCTTTGTTTCTTGTATACACATACATATGCACCCCTACCTGTATGTTTCAACCTGTTCACTACCTGTATAGATGGAGGAACGGGAGGCAAACAGAACTACATACCCACTAAAGCCTGGCATGGATCAATACAAAGCTAAAGCGATTATGAAGGGACACAGTTTAACCTGCTTAGACCCACAATTTGACATACATTCAAGGAGGGGGAGGGGAGAAACATACAAATACACTTGCAGATCAGCAGCAAAAGGGGTCACTTTTTTCTGACACTATTAAAAACCACTCTTCTGGATGCTCCCCTGTTAAACAAGTTTCTGCCAGAGATTCACACATTCTGTGTGTCAATGGGCTCTCTTGCCAACTTAAAATTGCCTCCTTAGCTATGTAGCCTAATTCCAAACAAGAATTCCCTCTACAAATAAAGGCACAAATACTTATTTCCCTCTTGCAGAACATGGCCACTCAAACCTGTCCCAGGATGAAGTCCAACTCTATTCAGTTCTAGCAACATACAAACTAGGCTGAGATGAATGTCCTCAGGAGATTCTTATGTACCAGCCAAGCAAGCAAAAACATCTTTGATTGCATGTTTATGATTCACAAAGATCTCAAGAGTTTTCCAACACCAGCACACAAAAAGCCAAAAGGAATAGAGGTATGGAGTCTGTTCACTTTTTACATTAGAAAACCAATGATCGATTTCTGTTTCAGATAGCTTATGCTCCAATAAATCTGTTAGTCTATAAGGTGTGTCAGGATTCCTCGTCGCTGTTTCAGATAGAAGCTCTCTGGAGGACCAGGACAGTAGAGTTCCATAACAGATTGAAGCTTTTACAATCCTCAGTTAACTCTGAACGCAGATGTTTGATCAAAACTAAAAAAAGAGTGTTTGCTCTTTTGTTCAAAGCAGTTTAATAAAAACAACCCTCTGACAACCAGCTGCGATAAAAGCCCTGTGGACGTTATTAGGAAGGAGATTCTCATTACATTACTACAGTCTCATGACTTACCCACTAAATAGTGGAAAGGAAAAGAATCTTTCAGTTAGGAAACTCCCTTACCAGGATACAGCAAGAAGCAAGAACCTCACACACTCAGGTACCAGGTGAGGTAAAAGAGTTTGACACCTCAGCAGTGTGGCATGTATTGGGGAAAGAAAACTTACAGGAAAACAATGCAAGAATAGTAACCTTCAGACACTTTTACAACTTCTTACAGACGCGCAAAGGTTCTTGGTCTTGTGGGCTTCCCTATGTTGGCCAGTGTTGATTTAAACCTTTCAGAAGTGGCGTGCCAAGATTTAACTTATTCACGGATCTGTGCACCAAGAAGAGGGGGCAGGGACAGGCTGGGTAATGTGACCATATTTTCTGAACCAGCTGCAGCTAGGGAGAACAGTTTAATTTATATTATGAAACAAATGAAATGTTTTAACGGTCTCATTAGTTTATCAAACTTTATTTAAAATCAAGTGTCCAACACAAAAAGTTTCAATGTTTTCTTTACTTATGGCAGGGGTGAGGAACCTTTTTTGGGGTCGGGGTCAATGACCCACTGAAAACTGAGTTGGGGACTACACAAGTGAGAAGCAAAAAAAAAATCCTCCAAAAAACACCAACCCTCACTGATGTGACCCCCAACAGAGATCTCACTCTTCTGGTGCTCCAGCCTCACAGGGAAAGGAAGGAGGATTAAGGTTCAAGGTTTCCCATAGGCCAGATTTACTTTTCTGGGGTTCCGGAGTCAGTGGATTTTATGGACCCCCTTTACTCTCTGGGGTTCAGTGAGAGACAGGGCTGCCAGCAAGTGGGATAGGAATAGGGTGCAGTATCAGGGAGGGAGATTATGTGCACAAGGGGGACAGGTAGGATGCAGGCTGGGAGTAGGGTGTCTGGCCTGGTGAAAGGAGCAGGAGCAAGAGAGGGGGCAGTGTGGGGCCAGAAGAAAGGGTGCAGGAGTAATGGTGGATTCAGGAGCAAGCTGAGTGTCTGGCCAGGCCAGGAGGGAAGGTGCAGGAAGGGTCTTGGGGCAGGGTGTCTGACCAGAAGGGAGGGTTCAGGAACAAGAGACGGTGATGTCAAAGCAAGCTGGGGGGTGCAGAGTCTTGGCAGGGTGGGGGAGGGAAGATGTGAGCAAGGGGGATAGATGTGAGCAAGGGGTCCGGGCATGGACGGGAAGACACTTACCTTAATGTCCCCTTACAGCAACTGCCGCACCCACGTGGTCCCAAGCACCCTGGAGGTTGGAGGCCCCACTGCCATTAGCCCCAGGGGAGGTACTGCTGAGGAGCCACAGCCCCCAGGGCTGCCTCCTCCCATTGCAGCCTAATCTGCTGCAGGGAAGAGGGAGCACTCTCCCGTGGCTGCACAGGGGAGGAGGGGCAAAACTGAGCTCCTTCCCGCATGCCCCTGAAAAATCAGCTCACATGCCATAGGATGCCCCCCCATCTCTTCCCTTTCATATGAATTACATGAGTGACAAATCTACTACTGCAGTTTCCAGCCTCTTTCGTTGATGTTTACACACTAACTGGTGATTGTCCTCCATGTCTCCATATTACTAATCGTAAATGCGTCTTCTAATTAGGGCTGTCAAGCAATTAAAAAATTAATCTTGATTAGTCACGCTTTTAAACAACAATAAGACTCTAGCTGACCCCGGCCTCTGCGTTGCGCTGTCCTTTTGAAACGCTGCAGCAGCATTTCAAAGGGGCAGCGCTGCACAGACCTTGGGGTCAGCTGGGGACTCCAGCTGATCAGGGCTCTGCTTTGTGCTGCCTCTTTGAAACGCCTTGGTGGCGTTTCAAAGGGGCAGCACCACAGAAATGCCTGCAAGTAACACACGTTAAAATTAAAGAGTTAATTGTGCCCTGCGTTAATGCGTGTTAGTTGACAGCCCTACTTTTAATCTTTTTTTTGCTTTTGGAGTCCTAAATTCTCTGAATTGTTTGCTCCTACTGAATTCCAATATCTCAATGACGAGTTAGTTCTGGGTTTTTAAAGTAATCCTACCTAGTTAAACATCAGGATAACAGTATCGTAAAAATAGTGAGTAGCGCTGTTTGTCATTACTTAAAACAAGCCAGAACTCATCTGCTGCTCTGAATGACAAAAGTTTTGCATGTCAACTGAAACCAATCATACAGTGAAGACAACTGAAAATAAACCTCTGATAACAGTAGCAATCCCCCTCCTTCCAAATACAATGGAAATAAACCAAAATGGTGGTAGACTTCGTGTATCATTTGTCACAACGTCTGAAAAATGAACTACATTTCAGGACTTCAGTGGTGTGACAGAGCAGGGGTGATACAGCAGGTTAAAGAGCTTGATGGAAGGGGAAAGAGCCAGAGAGTCAGAAATCCTGGCTAATTAGGGGCAGCTGCAAAATCAATTAAGGCCCAGGTGAAACTAATTGGGGCTGCCTGGAGGCCTATTTAAGAACCCGCAAGAGGGGGGCATACTGAGAAGGAGTTTTGGAGAGTGGAGGGAGGCATTTGGAGAAAGACACCGGAGGAGCCAAAAGAACAGCATCAACCTTGTTAAAAAGACTACAGGGAGACAACAAATCTCAAACCAAGGCGAGGGAGCTGTATACTGTGACTTCTAGACTGTGGGACAGTGGGCTGGACAAGGGTCAGGGGCCCAGGAGTGGGACTGACCCTGCCACAGTGGGTAAAATCAATAAGACTCTGTACAATTTCTGGAATTATGCTAATATAAAGACTCAACTTTACCTGAGATTCATATGGAAAGAAGGAGATATTTATTTCTTTGCACCTTCTTATAACCTTTGAGCAGCACGACTTCATTTTATTGAAGAGACTGTCAGGGCAAACTGGGAAAAGAGATTAAAAGGTTATGAAGCTGTTTTATAGTTATTTCAGTTAATTCATTCAAATTTACATTTACAGGATAAAACCTCATTTAGTTTTCTCTTGTTCTTTTAAGAATGAGATTTGTTTCAGAGAATTACCACATTAGTCTGTGGTTCTTGCAGGTGATCAAACAGGAACTATTCCAGTTAGAAAATTCTGAACATTTAGGAACCAGAAACATACTCATTGTAATCAGGGGGTCTATAGCATTCTACTGTGAGTTCCTTTCAAAAGACTGAAACACGAGTCAATTGCTATTAATGAATAAAAATATTATAAAGCCCTCCCAGAGAGAAAGATAAGAGGCGTTAATCTAACTGGGTTTGGGAAGAGTTAGATATTTTTCTTTTCAGCGGATTCCCACTTTTAGATACTGAAACCTGAGGAAGATTTCTAACAAATTTAACAGATACTGGAATAAACAGTAATAAGAAAGACACATAGCATGTCCTGAACAGTGACAACAGTAACCAGAGGGTTGTGTGTGTTTTCTCTTCCCTTTCATATGGAGTAGCAAGATACCTCCTAAATATTACAAAAAGGAAGTTACAATAGTCCTCTCCCTGTCCCCAGAATGGACAATACAAATCCCCAAACAAAATATGAAGCAGATACAAGTGTTTGGTTGTACCTATCTTTTAAGTGTTCTGTAACACTGATCAGTTAAACTTGGATTCTTGTCTGGAAGATGAATTTAAGCTATGATGGGTAAATATATGCAGAGAAGACTATGTGAGCGCTTATCAAATGCCTTCAACAGATGTAGATCTGAGAGCGCTGTTTGTCTCCCCCCAACAGACAAACCTTACAGGTTTCTAGATCTGTAACCAAAACAGGGAGATATACCATCAGATTACCATGCCAGCATAGTTCTTAGAACTTCAAATGAGGCAAAAAGCCAACTGGATTTAAGGCAGAAGTGGGTAATAAGTTTTGATTGGGGGGGGGGGTGAATGAGAAGACCACTTTCCAAATTCTTAGAGTGGCCTAGGGCTGCACTCTTCCATATCAATGGAGGAGATATGGGATCTGAGATGGAGGTTGGGTACAGAAGGGAGCTTGCATTAAGGGACTGGGGTGCAGGAAAAGGTGTGGGGGCTGGGAGGGAGTTTGGGTGAAGGAGGCAATTTGCACCCTAGTCCCTTAACTGGGTCACGAGATCTGAGTTGTGACCTTGAACAAGAGGGGGCTGTAACATGGGGCAGGGGACTGGGATGCAGGAGAGGGTTATTACTTGTGGCAGGGTCTCTGGGGACAGGGGGGAGGAAGGGTTGGGGTGCAAAGGCAGATTCTGGCTGGGAGACTTACCTGCTTGACTCCCAGCCAGCAGCCTTTTCAAACTGCCTGCCCTGCCCCTGCACTGGCTGCAGGGTCCACGAAGTTTTTTAACAAATACAAGACTGAAGGGAGAATATAGATGCTTTGCAAGCTGCCCATTGACAACAGGGAGCTCCCCTTGGCCAAAACTGGCCAATGGGATTGTGCTGGGAGCAGGAGCAGCATGTGATGGCTCACCGCTGTTCAAAACAGACCCAGCAGCAGTTTCTCTCAGCAGCATGCTGGGGACAAGCAGGAAGTCCGTTCGAGGCTGGATCCGGCTGCTTAGGGTATTTTGCCCAGGGCTGATTTAAGGGATCTGGAGCCTAGTCTAATCAAAACACCAACAGAGAAGTGACTACCAGGCCTTGAAGACTGCTCAATTTCCTCATGGCTGTGACTTGTAAAGACCTTCTATTTTAAAAAAAGCTCACCTATTGAACAGCTCTGTATGGATGAAATATGGATTGACGGGGAAGCCAATTTTGTGGCATCAATGTATAACCAAACAAAGGTCATCAACAAATAAGTCTGTCTTTCCATATTAATCTTAAGTTCACTGGACAATCTTAAAAAAAAAGACAGAGGTTCTTGCACCTATCATATATATGTTCTGTAACACTGATCAGTTAAAACTTGGATTCTTGTTTGGAAACTGTTCTGAGAGCAGTCTGCCAATGCAGCAAGCCCAAAAAACAAGCTTTTGGCAACAGACCAACAAGGAATGAAAAAATAAAAACAGTAAACGACACTGCAAGTTAGTGGGGATAATATATACTGAAGCTAAAGAGGGCTGCTTATATGTTGGAACCTTCGCCACAACATGCAAGCTGGTCCCAGGCACTCTGTCAACTACAGTCAGAAAGCAGCAATGTTAGAGGCACCATTAAGCACAGAGTATGGAATGTCCTCTAAGGAACAGCTCACCCAGTAATGTGGTGGGAAAAACAAGCTTAACAATGGAAATCTACTGTGATAGCTCTCAACTTTTACATTTTAAGGTGTTTTAACTTTACCACTACAGCATAACACAAGACAGAAGCTATAAGTGAAACAGCAGAATGAAGTTTGACCTCAGGGGTGGTGGAGTATTATAGTAGTGGATTTCCTGTTGGAACTCTGCAATTGTTTTATTTGGAGCCATAATACTGCCATTAGGGCTCTTTTTGAGAGAGAAAAAAGCCTCTTAATCTGGACTGAGTAAAGCCTCAAGAGTAGATCAGGGACCAAACTGATGTAACCAGAATTCAATGTCTGCTTTCCATGGGGGAAGTCAGCTAAACTAAAATAGAAGAATATACTTGGTCTGTCAGATGCTTCAGTGGGAATGAATAGGGCAGTTCACGAGTGATCCCGCCCTGTCATCTAGTTCCAACTCTGCCAACTGGAGGTTTAGGGACACAGAGTATGGGCGTCTTTCTAGCAGAGCTTAGAATACGCCTACTACACCATGCATCTTTTAGTGACAAGGCTGTGTCGACACAACTCTGCTAAAAGTCAGCATGTTTGTCACCACTTCTGCGGACAAAACGTTTCCATCCACTTTTGGTGGATTTTGCTGACAAAGCAGCGTTCACACGTGTACTTGCTACAGCAAAACTTTGTTAAATGGGCGGAGGGAAGGAGTTAAGCACCCATGAAAGACAAAAGATGTGTCAAGCAAGGGCAAGTGTAGACACACCCTAACTTTCCTCTGCACAATATTCCAGCTGTGCTGTTTGACAATGGAAGGGGCACAAGCCTTGGTGTGGGAACTGACTGGGAAGTATCTAGGGAACTGCTGCTGTTCTTTCCTTTGTGGGCAACCTAGGATGCAGAAATACTATGTAGATGAATTAGGAGGGCACTTATATTTCCTTATTCCCAACAAACATGTGGAAGCCAGCTCACAACTGAGCCCATAGTAAGTAAGTGAAATATAATCAAAACTTCAAACCACTGGCTTCATAGCACAGCAAACTATCATTCCAAAGTTATTTTTGGTTTTATTTCTACACAATTATTTGCTTGTGTATCCTAATCTTGTTCAAAAATGTCTTTTACATTCTATAGCATACAAATATAGTGAGCAAGTACCAAAAATAAACCCAAAACATGTAATATTGAAAACTAAAGCATGAAATACAAAGATCATGCTCATTCTGGGAAATAAAGAGCCATTCCACCACACTGGACAGAAACTAAATCCACATCCTGTGGCTTTCCATTTCTTGCTACAATGCTTTAAATCACAGAGCATTATGGGTTGTTGGGGTGGGTTTTTTTTTTTTTTTTAAAAACACCTCCACTTCAATTCTTGTAAAGCGAAGTCTAAAAAAATCCCCCTCATAGCTTAATGCAGTAGTTTATTGCAAATATAAACCAGCTAGTAAATTAGAGTATATTAGTAGCAAAGTAAGACTTTTAAACATTCATTGTTACCAAACTCAATAAATTACTTACAGTCAGTGAAGTAGACATATGCTGCTTTGTACTTGTAGGATGATTTAGTTACAAAGTCACTTATAAGCCCATCTACAGACTTAAGATAAAAATACTGAATTAAAATTTACTATAAAGAAAAGCATCTATTTTGCCTGCTCTTTGAACAAATTTTTGCTGGTCTTCATTTTTGACCAGTTCACTTCTTTTAAAATGATTAGTGTGAAATCAGAGACTGTAATCAGTCATTACAGTAAACAGTACACCAGAGTATTATTTCCAGCCCAAGGATAACAAATAATAATCATTAATATTATCTTCAGCAGAAGTTAAACAAAATATAGTAGGCAGCAAAGAAAGGGGAGGAAAAAAATCTTGTTATAAAAAATTGATAATTTAAAAATGCAAGATTCCATCTCTTCTGAACATTTTTATAGTACCAGTGTAGACAATTTTCCCACAGCCATTATTTTGAATAGCAGCTTTATAATAGCTTAGTATGTAATGTTACGATGGTTCAGTTAGTCATGTTTCTGTACTACACAAAAAAGATCAAAAGCAAAAGTAAGTAAAAAGCCTGCTGCATTATTTTCTTCAAAATACTAACCTTCTCAGTTGGAGTGATGAGATAAATTGCCTTCATGTGTGGGACAGGCTCACGTTTTTTATAAACATTCTCCACAGCTACAATATATAAAGATACACATTTTGAAATGCAATATTGAGTACATCTTTATTCATTAGTGAAGTCTGGAAGACTACATAAAAACTTTGGTGTTTTAACAAAGAAAACTAATGCATTCTGGATTATCTTGAGAGAATGCTCCTTTTGACCATTGATTGCATTTAACATGAATATATTTGTGTAAGATAAAATGAGTCTAAACTTTCTCTATGGAGAGAACTGAATTACAATTTTAAGTAAGGGTAGGATCTGGTCCGTAAGAATGGCCGTACTGGCTCAGACCAAAGGTCCATCTAGCCCAGTATCCTGTCTGCCAACAGTGGCCAGCACCAGGTGCCCCAGAGAGGGTGGACCGAAGACAATGATCAAGCGATTTGTCTCCTGCCATCCCTCTCCAGCCTCTGACAAACAGAGGCCAAGGACACCATTTTATCCCCTGGCTAACAGCCTTTTATGGACCTAACCTCCTTGAAATTATCTAGTGTAGAAGCTATTTTATGTTTAGCTAGAAGCCATATTGTACATCAGAAACCATTTCAGCTTTTCTCTCAAGCACGTAGACCAGAGTGAACTTTCTGTCACCCCGTGAGAAGAGGCCTACAGGATGGGCTATTGGTATGTGTTAATTGGGCTGGTTGGGACAGGAGATGTACTCCCTCGTACCTGTCAGCCATCTTGTTGATAAGGCTTTGTTTTTCCAAGTTTAATTGAGGATTTCTGTAATTGGATGCCCTGACGTCAGACTGTTTGGCTAAGGGTATAACGATACTAGGATTGATTGTATTAGCAGATTTACTGGGCCCGACTTTGCTAGAACCACGTTTGGCTCACTTTGCTTTACTGATCAATAAAGCAAATCAGTTGTTAGCCACCTAAACAGAGAGGAGCATGTTTTTGCTTCGACACTAGCTTCTCTTTAAACTCTTGTTATAGACCTAGCCTTCACAGCCTCCTCTGGCAAGGAGTTCCACAGGTTGACTACACACCGTGTGAAGAAGAACTTTCTTTTATTAGTTTTAAACCTGCACCCCATTAATTTCATTTGGTGTCCTCTAGTTCTTCTATTATGGGAACTAATAAATAACTTTTCTTTATTCGCCCTCTCCACACCACTCATGATTTTATATACCTCTATCATATCCCCCCTCAGTCTCCTGTTTTCCAAACTGAAGTCCCAGTCTCTTTAGCCTCTCCTCATATGGGACCCGTTCCAAACCCCTAATCATTTTAGTTGCCCTCTTCTGAACCCTTTCCAAGGCCAAAATATCTTTTTTGAGGTGAGGAGACCACATCTGTACACAGTATTCAAGATGTGGGCGTACCATAGTTTTATACAGGGGCAGTAAGATAGTCTGGGTCTTATTTTCTATCCCTTTCCTAATAACTCCTAGCATCCTATTTGCCTTTTTGACCATCACTGCACATTGTGTGGACGTTTTCAGAGAACTGTCCACGATAACTCCAAGATCTTTCCTGATTTGTCGTAGCCAAATTAGCCCCCATCATACTGTACGTATAGTTGGGGTTATTTTTTCCCCCCCCGATGTGCATTACTTTACACTTATCCACATTAAACTTCATTTGCCATTTTGTTGCCCACTGCTTACCCCTTTCTCCAGATCATTTATGAATAAGTTGAAAAGGATTGGTCCCAGGACTGACCCTTGGGGGACACCACTAGTTACCCCTCTCCAATCTAAAAATTTACCATTTATTCCTACCCTTTGTTTCCTGTCTAACCAGTTCTCAATCCAAGAAGGGACCTTCCCTCTTATCCCATAGCCGTGTACCTCTATTATGGTGTCTTTAAAAAGTTTCCACGCAGCTTGCAGGGATTTGGCTCTAGTCACTGTGCCTTTTAATTTCTGTTTAACTAACCTCCTCATTTTTGTGTAATTCCCCTTTTTGAAATTAAATGCCAGAGTTCTGGACTGCTCAGGTGCTCTTGCCACCACAGGAATGTTAAATGTTATTATATTATGGTCACTGTTCCCAAGTGGTCCTGTAACAGTGATATATATCTATGGTGATATCTCCAGATTAATTACAACAATTGTTTATATGGAAAATTTAAATTAGAAAAATATTTCAAGTATTTTAACTTTGTGGTGCAATTTATCAACTAGTCCACCTCTTGCAAACACATTGGGTCAGATTTTCAGATGTAGCATTGTCACTTTGCATCACATCACTAGTGTAACTGTGCCATTACCCAGTGTAACTCCTAAGACAGAGCTAACATAAGGGGGATTTATGCCACTCTCTTTCTCTTCTATCCACAAAACAGGAAGAATTGTAATGACCAGAGGGAAGGGGAAGTGACTGGGTGATTCTCCTGCATACAGATCTCTGGCAGTCCTTTTTACCCATTGTAGAAGTTTCGTGCTAGCATAAATTAGAGAATTCTTGGACTGCTTTAACCTGGGGCTATGAGACAAGCCCTGCACAGAGTTACAACGTGATTAGGGGAGGGGCAAGGGAAAGGTTACAGCCCCAGACTAGAAATCTGAAGATGCAGACAAGCAGACCCTAGAATCCAGCCCAGTATTTAAATTTAGTCTTTCCAAACACATTTCCCGGCTTTCAGTCTAAGTGCTCTTTGATGACATTTCATTGTGTCCTGTTTTACTTTTATTTTTCTGAAGACCTTAGAAATTCCAGCAAGATGACTATAATTTCTGTTTAACCTCCTCATTTTTGCGTAATTCCCCTTTTTGAAATTAAATGCCAGGGCGCTGGACTGCTGAGGTGTTCTTCCCACCACAGGAATGTTGAATGTTATTATATTATGGTCACTATTCCCAAGCAGTCCTGTAACGGTTATTTCCCGGACCTGATCCTGCACTCCACTCAGGACTAAATCGAGAATTGCCTCTCCCCTTGTGGGTTCCTGCACCAGCTGCTCCAAGAAGCAGTCACTTAAGCCATTGAGAAATTTTATCTCCGCTTCTCTTCTTGAGGTGACATGTATCCAGTCAATATGGGGGTAATTAAAATCCCCCATTATTATAGAGTTCTTTATTTTGGTAGCCTCTCTAATCTCCCTCAGCATTTCAATATCAGTATCGCTGTCCTGGTCAAGTGGTCGGTAATATATCCCTACTGCTAATTTCTTATTATTGAAGCATGGAATTACTATCCATAGCAATTGTATTGAACATGTTGATTCACTTAATATTTTTATTTCATTTGATTCTACATTATCTTTCACATACAGTGCCACTCCGCCACCTACCCGACCTACTCTATCCTTTCAATATATTTTATGTCCTGGTATGATTGTGTCCCACAGATTTTCCTCATTCCACCAGGTTTCAGTGATGCCTATTATGTCAATCTCCTCATTTAATATGAGGCACTCTAGTTCACCCATCTTATTAGTCAGACTCCTCGCATTTGTGTACAAGCACTTTAGAAATTTGCCACTGCTTATTTGTCTGCCCTTCCCTGATGCATTGGATTCCTTTGCATGCGGTTGTTTATCTGCTCTGGCCCATGGTTTGCCCTCTCCCCTCCTCTCTTTCTGATTACAGCTTAGAGAATCTCTATCAATGGATTCTCCTCTAAGAGAAGTTTACCTCCAATTTACGTGGGCTTTCCCCCCATCTTAGTTTAAAAACTGCTGTACAGCTTTTTTAATGTTTAGTGCCAGCAGTCTGGTTCCACCCTGGTTTAGGTGGAACCCATCCTTCCTGTATAGGCTCCCCCTCTCCCAAAAGCATCCCCAGTTCCTAATACATCTAAACCCCTCCTCCCTCTGGCACTCCAGCCCCCATGGGGTGAGGGAAAGTGGCCCTGCACGTGGAACTGGAAGCATTTCCGAGAATGCCACCATAGAGGTCCTGGATTTCAGTCTCTTTTCTAGCAGCCTAAATTTGGCATCCAGGATCTCTCTCCCACCCTTCCCGATCTATAGAGAACTCTCATTTTTTACATCAGGAGGTTATTATAAAGACAGTAGAAGAGAGTTGTGTACTAAGTACGCCCCTAGATACAGGCACGTGGAACTGGAAGCATTTCCGAGAATGCCACCATAGAGGTCCTGGATTTCAGTCTCTTTTCTAGCAGCCTAAATTTGGCATCCAGGATCTCTCTCCCACCCTTCCCGATCTATAGAGAACTCTCATTTTTTACATCAGGAGGTTATTATAAAGACAGTAGAAGAGAGTTGTGTACTAAGTACGCCCCTAGATACAGGCAGTCCCCGACTTACGCAGATCTGACTTATGTCGGATCCGCACTTACGAACGGGGCTTTTCTCGCCCCGGAGCTTGCGGGCGGCGGGACCACCCAGAGCGCAGCGGTCCCACCACCGCGTCCTCCGGGGCGAGAAAATTTGCTCCAGGTCTCCCTGGTGTGCTGGGGGGGACTCCCCAGCACAGCAGGGAGACCCGAGCAAAGCCGCACAGGCGGCGGGACCCCGTTGCCCGTGCGGCTTTGCTCCTTTGCCCCGGAGCAAAGCCGCACAGGCGGCGGGACCTCTGCGCCTCCGCGGCTTTGCTCGGGTCTCCCTGGGCTGCTGGGAGGAGAGGGGGCGCAGCTAGTGCGCCCCCCCCCAGCAGACCAGGCTTTTGTTGCGGGACGCCTTGGGTAGAGCAGCTGGGGTGCTGCTGGGGTGG